GAGAATCTGTTCGATTAAAAGAAAGAAGAAAAAAAAAAAAAAAAAAAAAAAAAAAAAAAAAGGGGGGGGGGGGGGGGGGGGGGGGGGGGGGGTAAAAGGGGGCCAGGTAGTAGTAGGAGAAAGGGGAGAAGGGGAGGGGTGGGGAGGGAGGGACGGGGGGGGGAGGAAGAAGGGGAAAACTATAACTGATGATAATGGCCCCGAGAAGAGGAGTGAAGTAGAGCATGCAACAATAAAACAAAAAAACAAAAAAAACAAAAAAAAGTAGAGCACGCTACTACAGCGGTTTCGGATAAGCTTTTGGATAATCAATCAATCAATCAATCAATCAACCAATCAATCAATCAATCAATCAATCATTTTATTTTATGATTTTTTTAATTCAATTATTACTCACCCAATAGCTATCGCTGATGATGGCCCCGAGAAGAGGAGTGAAGTAGCATGCGACGATGTACATGTGAACTGCCTCCGTCGCTGAATCTTCTGAGAGGAGGAGGAAATTGTTCAGATACAGAGCCAGGATTGTCTTCATTCCATAATAGGAAAATCTCTCGCAGAATTCATTCCCGACAATATACTTCACCGTCCCCGGGAAGGTCAGCGATTTTTCTTCCCTCACCCCGCCCCCTCCTCCTCCTCCTCCTCCTCCTCCTGCTGCTGCTGCTGCTGCTGCTGCTGCTGATTGGCCACCATAAGTGCCAGTTCTCAGTGAAGCCGCAGCAGTTATAGCAGCACGTAATCTCCGCTGCTCGTCCTCCACCTCCCCCCACTCCACCGATGGCACTGGCGCGGCGTTGATGCGGTTATCGTCCGTGATCCTGGCCGTTGATGACGACATGATGATGTTGATGATGATGATGATGATGATAGCAAGCGGAGTGGCACGACCAGCCGTTCGCTTGCCGAGCTGGCTGGCTATGGCGGACAAAGGTGATGGCGATGGCGGCGACGGCAGACAAAGGTGATGGCTATGGCGGCGACGGCAGACAAAGATGATGGCTATGGCGGACACAGGTGATGGCTATGGCGGACACAGGTGATGGCTATGGCGGACAAAGATGACGGCTATGGCGGACAAAGATCATGGCTATGGCGGACAACGCTGGCTGGCTATGGCAGACGAAAATGATGATGATAACGACGAGGAGGAGGAGGACGAGGAGGATCGATGGCTATGGTGGAAGGAGATGAAGGTAGATGGATAAGGAGCCGGGAGGAAGGAGGTGGGTGAGAAGGTGGGTAGGAGAAGACACATGACCGCAGGGAATAATAGGCAAAGGAGTAGGCGAGGGGTGGAGGGGAGGAGGGGGGAGGGGGGGAAAGGAAGAGGGAGGGAGAGAGAAAGAAGGAGAGAAAGGAAGAAGAAAGGAAAGAAGGATCGGAAAAGGGAAGAAGGAGAGCAGGGCGACGAAAAGCAAGGGGGAACAAACGGAAAGCAAGGATGAAAGGAGGAAGACGGAGGAGGGAGGGAGGGAGCAGGCGGGAGGGAGAGGAACAAAGACGTAGGGAATGAGGAGAGGTCTGAAAATAGACGGAGTCAGGGATCGACAACAGCTTAGGAGGAGAAGGGGAGGTAGGAGGTGCAAAGCAATCACTTAACTGATGAGCCCGGAGGAGAAAGGATGAGGAGGAGACGATAGGGCAGCAGACGAGAGGAGGCAGAATAGCAACAAGGCGGAGGGAGGAGGGAGGAGAGGAGGGAGGAGAGGAGGAAGGAGAGGAGGGA